ATGCTGGCAGCCTCAGTTTGCTGTAGTTCGATCCCCACAACACTCCAGCCATGCAAAAGTGCCCTGAAGGCATTCAAGGAGCAAAACACACACACACACACACACACACACACACAAATATTCCTTATTCTATAACCCCATATTCCCTAACTCAATGAATGCTGTCTTCATCTCTCCAAGCCAGCAACTCCAGCAACAGCTTTGACTTCTCATGCCTTATGTTACCTGCAAAATTTGGTAGATAGCTCACTTTTCAAGTTGACCATCTCCTAACTATCACTACAGGTTAATGACTCCTGCAGGTTATATCTCATCTGAACTTCTACACAAGCCAAAACAACAACAACAAAAAAGTTTACCCAAACTTGGGTCACACTTGTTAGTTAAACAAGTAGGAATGTTGGATATCTGAGTTGACTTTAGGACAGATAGCGAGTCTTGAGACCAAACTTGGGTCACACTTGTTAGTTAAACAAGTAGGAATGTTGGATATCTGAGTTGACTTTAGGACAGATAGCGAGTCTTGAGACCAAACTTGGGTCACACTTGTTAGTTAAACAAGTAGGAATGTTGGATATCTGAGTTGACTTTAGGACAGATAGCGAGTCTTGAGACCAAACTTGGGTCACACTTGTTAGTTAAACAAGTAGGAATGTTGGATATCTGAGTTGACTTTAGGACAGATAGCTAGTCTTGAGACAGAAATGTTGGATTTTTGAATAGGTGACACTCAATTTTGTAGGGCTAGGAAGGGTCACTAAGGCAGAAGGTATAGATGGAAAAGTCTTGTGGAGTCTGAGGCTGGGATATTCCAATGGAGAGGGGAGGACAGGGCATCAACACAGACCAACGAAGAACAGATCTCTTCCTTTTTTTAAAAAATTTATTTATTTGTGGCTGGCATGTGGTGCTGGGGGATTGAACCGTGGTCCCTGTGCTTTGCCAAGCTTGTTCCAAGTAGGTGCCTTAGACCACTGAGCCATCTCACCAACCCAGATCTCTTCCTTGGTGTAGTGAGAAAGACCAGGACTGTGTGTTGACCCAGGGGAAATTTGAATTTCCTTCAAATTCAAGGAAAATGAGGCTGGGTGTGGTTGCACAGGCCGGCCATCCCAGCCCTCTGAGAAGCTGCTACAGGAGGATCTCAAATTCAAGGCCAGCCTAAGCAACTTAATGACTTAAAGAGACCCTGTCTCTAAATATAATAAAAGTACATTCTCTTAATGAATAGAGGGATTTGTTCTAATAGTGTTTGTAAATAGGATATCATGTCCACGTCTTGTACAACACATAACCACTAGGAAGAATGTATGCAATGTGTTAACTGAAACTGTCCTACCAATTTGGTTTGAAACTGTCTCATTGCTATTTGTTTCTCAATAAAATTATGGAAAAAAATAACTCTAAACACACACAAAAAATAACAATAAAAAGGGCTGAAGGTGGAGCTCAATGGTAGAGCACCCCTAGGTTCAATCCCAGACCCAACAAAACAAAAGAAAAGTGAGAGGTAACAAAACCACAGAGGAGTAGTGTTCACCTCTTCTGGAGAAGGGCTAGGAGGGCGTTGAGGATGGGGAGGGGAGAAACCAGACAAGGGCAAGGGCAGGGGCTCAGAAGAGATTTGAAGAGATCTTTTTTCTTTTGCAGAACTGGGGATTGAACTCAGCCCCTTGCGCTTGCCAGGCAAACACTTATTCTACTGAGCTATCTCCCTGGCCCCCCTGCTTTTTATTTTGAGACAGTTTCTTTCTAAGTCACACAGAGTTGCCCAGATGGGGCTGGAACTTGTGATCCTGCTGCCTCAGCCTCCCAAAGTGCTAGCTAGCATGTGAGACTTGGTTTTTGAGAGGGGTCTCACTGTGTTGCCCAGGCTGGCCTCAAACTTGAGATCCTCCTGCCTTAGCCTTGTGAGTAGCTCGATAACAGTGGTGCACCACTGTGCCCAGCATGACTATTGTTTGTGTCTCTATAAACAAACAAACAAACAAACAAACAAACACCAAACACCAAGATGTTAAAGTCCCAGCCCCAGTCCTTCACAATTTTAGAAGGACTTTATTGGTAGATAGGATCGTTGGAGATGGGGAGATGAGGGCATGCGGGGGTAGGGTGGGCCAGTGACCCCTCATGACTGGTGTTTTTGTAAGAAGAGGACAGAGTCACACAGAGAAGCCACCTGTGGGTAAAGAAGGAGGCAGAGAAGGTATGGTGCAGCCAGCAGCACAAAAAGGCCCAGGGCTAGCAGAAAGCAGGCAAAGGATTCTATATCTGGGATTGAATCTAGGGCCTCAGCCCTGTCCTGTCCTGTCCTGTCCTCCCTTCCTTTCAGCAGAGTCTTACTAATTTGCTGGCATGGCTCCAACTTGCAATCTTCTTGCCTCAGCCTCCCAGAACTACTTAATTTGTGGTAGCTTGTTAGGACAGGGCTAGGGAACAGGTCATGGGGCATTTGGGAAAGGTCCCCAGGCCCTTCCAGCTTCCCAGGGGTCTCAGCTGGGGGTAGGGAGATTTTGGCAGTTCTTATAGCTCTGCAGGTAAATTGCTTCAGGGTGAAAGGTCAGGGTCTTGGTCCCTCATCTGTCACCCTACCACTTGATTATCCATTGAATAAAACCACTGTTTATTAAAAACAAGAAGTAAAACTTGATGTGGTGATTTGTCCATCTCCAGCCCTTACTTCTGAGCCCTAACCCACCTGGGAGCCCAGCAGCTTTGGGACCCTGCACCTTGGCTGTGCTCCTGTACTTTGTGCCCCCCACAGCCCCAAGGGCACAGCATCCTCTCACTGTTGGAGGTCTAAGGTACTCCTCCCAGCCCTGTATTCTCCTGAGTACTAATAAGTAGTTGTCTTGAGTCCTGAGGCTACCTCCCCTATTTTTCCGTGACTGCTGCTCAAAGTTTGACAGAGATTAGTCTTCTGGAGAAGGGATTGTTTTTGAGACAGGGTCTTTCTATGTAGTTCAAGTTACTCTTCAACTCACTGTGTAGCCTGGCCTGGCCTCAAACTTTCAGTGATCCTCCTGTCTCAGCCTTCCAAGTACTGGGAGCACAGGTGTTCACCACCTTACCCTGCCCTAATATCTCTGTTAAACTCCATCATGAGTTTGGGGGCGGGGAGATGGCTCAGTAGAATAAGCTGTTGCCAGCCAAGCGCAAGGACCTGAGTTCAATCCCTGGTTCCACACAAAGAAGAGGGGTACACTTTTGGGGGTAGCATGACCCTTGTGGGTGCTCTTGGGTATGGCTGATCCAACACCATATCCACGGCTTTAGATTGCAAAGGCTTTTTATTTATTTATTTATTTGGTGTAAGGTCTTGCTATGCAGCTCAGACTCATAGTGATCCTCCCTGTCTCAGCCTCCCCAGTGCTGGGATTACAATTGTGTGCCACCATGCCCAATTTTGGGGGCCAGCATGGCATGCAGTACCAGGTATCAAACTTGGGTCCTTGTGTTTGCCAGGCAGGCACTTAGACCACCGAGCTGTCTCCCCAGCCCTACAGGGGCTTTTTTTTTTTTCACGGAACTGGGGATTGAACTCAGGCCCTTGTGCTTGCCAGGGAAGTGCTTATTCTACTGAGCCATCTCCCCAGAGCCCTGCAGGGGCTTTAAAAAAATTTTTAATCTTTCTTTCGTCTTCGTCTTCCTTTTCCTCTTCGTCTTTTTTAATGTATTTGGCATAGGGTCTTACTATGCAGCTCAGTGATCCTCCAGTTTTCAGCCTTCCTAGCACTGGGATTACAAAGCCATCTTGGTGGGGCAGGTCCTGTACGCCATATGGTGCCGAGGATGGAACCCAGTCCCCGGACTTGCCTAAGCAGGCAGCTTTATCTGCCGAGCTATCTTGTCAGCCCTTTCTTTGTTTTTCTGAAGCATGGTCTCCCTAGGTGGTTTAGGCTGACCTTGAACTCCCTATGTAGTCCAAGCTGGCCTGGAACTCTGTGATCCTCTTGCTTCAGCCTCCCAAGTGCTGGAATTATAGGCACGGGCCACAATGCCTGGCTGTTTTTCTTGTCCTGTGGTTTGGTTTTCAAGTCTTTGTTGTGGGCAGAGCTTTATTTTGGAAAGGGACCTTGTGAACCAAGATCCTTTGCTGAGGGTCTTTGGTCCCCTAATTAACTCCTGTTTTGAGGAAGAGTCCAGGGGGCTTCAGGGGTGAGGACATATAATAAGGTCAGGCTTTCACCAGGGCCTGCAGCTTCCTGAGCTCTGCCCACATCCGACTCTCTGATCTTATCTCCTACTCAGTAGCTTTACTGCATATTCTTGTGAACACACACCAGATCGTGAGTGCCACTGTCGGGCCTCTGAACTTGCTGGCTGTCCCGGGAAAAGTCTCTGATCTCTAGATTCCATTTGGACTCAGATGTCACTCCAGTCTGACCACTCTGAATAAATGGCCTTCCCATCAGGGGCACAGAGTGGGTGGTCAATAACTATTTGTGGAACAAAGCCAGGTGTGATGGTTCACACCTGCAATCCCAGGTGTGAACTCTGGAAGGCTGAGTCAGGAGAACTGTAAATTTGAGTCTAGCGTGGGCAAGTTAGCAGCACCCGGTATCAAAATAAAAAGTAAAAAAATAGCTGGGGCCCTAGATTGATTCAATTCTCAGTACTGCAAAAATAAATAAATAAAGGCCAGGGATATAGCCCAGCAGCATAAGTGCCTGCCTGGCAAGTGCAAGGTCCTGAGTTCGATCCCTGGTACCAAAATAAATAAATATAAATGAATGAACGAATGAATGTCAAACAGACAACTATTCAAATATTTGTTGAACTATGGAATAAAAGAAACTCAGCTCTCACAACATGTTGTATATGTGTGTATCCCTGGGAGGGACTGTAGTTGTCAACAGCTCTCTCATGGGGTCTAGAATCCTAGGTCTCACAGCAGGACAGGAAGTCTGGACAGCACAGGAAGTGGGGAATCTGGGGCCCTGGGAGAGGCTGGGAAGGAACCTGGGACCAGGCCACAGCTGACTTTTGCTGGAGGACATACCGGACAGGTGTGTGGAGGAACCATGGACCCCTTCTAGTTTTCCCTCCTGTTTTCAGGAATTTGGGCTCCGTGCAGCTCCCCAATGCCTCCCCTCAGCCTCCAAAGCCAGGGCCAGGTTCCAGGACAGAAACAAACTCAGCAATTTATAAAGATAACTCAAGAGCACTCTTTATTCACCAGAAATCAACATACAGGCCCTGTAGGCTGAGCCCCAAACCAACCAACTTAAAATCTGACTGGGGCTCTTCTTGTCTTTGCCATGAAAAAAATAAAATAAATCAAATCAAATCTAGGCAATCGCCATACCCCCGCGGGGTACTTAAACCCTTTTCCTGGAGGGGCTCTGTTGATTTAACTCTTGGAAGATAAAAACACAGCCAACTGTCATAATTTTGGGTGGGAGAAGGACCCATGGGTGGGCCTGGGGCTGGGACAGATAGGATGAAATGCGAAGAACAGCTAGGGAAGATGAAAGGCGTCTGCTCACCCAAGCAAGTGAGCCGGCCCCTGTGCTTTCAGGTGCTCTTTTGAGGATACCTTGGCCCCCCTGGGGGTCCTGTCTGCTCCCAGCTCCTAATGGAGAGGGTGCTTCTGGCAGGCTGGAGGGACAAGATGGTCTGTGCAGAAACCATGGATCTGCAGGTGCTGAAGAAGGCGGAAGCAGATGGTCTCAAACTGGGAGCCCATTTTCAAATGCTCAGGAGCCAGGTGTGTTCATATCTCAGTTCTCAGAGCAGCCTGGCAAAGCACTCTGGTGTCTGGCAAGGCCAAGCAGCCCAAGTTGCCTGGAGAGTGGGGTCCCAGGCTGAGAAGTCATAGGGCAGGACCAGGGTCACCCACAGCTCCCAGAAGTGAGGCTCCATAAACTGGGTAGCCTAGAGGATGCCATGCTGCACCATGAGGATCCTGAGACGGGCCAGCTCGGCTGCCAGCAGCCTCTAGTGTTTCAGGATCCAGCAGGGTTGGAGTGCTGAGGGCCAGGAGTCCCAAAGGGCTGAAGGAGTAGAGAGGAGGGTTGAGGGACTTAGGTGGGCCTGAACCAGGAGGACTAGGAGTGCAAGTGGTTGGCACCAACAGTCCTCAGTGCTTGACCTTACGGCCAGCTGAGTTGCGTCCGCTGCGGCGGTACAGGGAGTACTGGTTGCCGTTGAGTGGGCAGTACTTGAGTGTGTGGGCCTGGCCACCGGTGGCCCCGCACAGGGGACACACATAGTGCCTCAGGATGGGACACAGCACCACGCCTTCCGGCGTCTTCAGCTGGTGTGAGGCGTACACATGACGGGACTCTCCATTGTGCTTGCAGAAATTGCACAGGGTGGCCCCCGGCTCCGGACTGCGCTGTCCCGGTAAAGGCTCACGGGTGGGCTCCTTGGTCTCCTCTGTCTCCTCGACTTCCAGCCTTTGGTTTCTGCTCTTGACCAGCGCCAGCACCACCTTGCTGAGGTTGAGGTAGTCCCTCCACAAGTCAAAGGGTGGCAGATCCATGGATCCCTGACAGGTGGGCTATGGCTGGCCAGGAAGGGGCTGGGGGCCAGCGGGGGCCAGCAGGCAGGAGCAGCGGGCGGGCGTTTTGTTAAGCAGACACGCGCTGCACTCCCCCCCCCCTTTTATACTCCCCACAGACCCTTTCAAGCAAAGGTGGAGCTTAGGATTTAAAGGGGCCACTCCCAGCCTCCGACCCCCATCTCACTCTGCTCTCCCACAGACATTGAAAGGAGGGGATGACCTGGTGCTCTGCCTCAAAATTGCTGTGTCTTGTCTCCTCTCCACTGACTGAGCCTCAGTTTCCCTGTCTGTCCAATTTAGAGCCATGGCTGTTGGGGTCGGGGAAATGGCTTAGTGGCATAAGCGCTTCCCTGGCAGGCCAAGGACCTGAGTTCAATCCCCGTTTTGCAGAACCAGGGATTGAACTCAGGCCCTTGTGCTTGCCAGGGAAGCACTAATTCCACTGAGCCATCGCCCTGGCCCAATCCCCGGTTCTGCAAAAAAAAAAAAAAAAAGAAAGAACCATGGCTGTTAATGCTCCCCATGCCCCACCCTCATCATTGTGGCAGGAGAGGCTGCTGCCCCCTGATACTTCAGAGCCGTTCCTCATCTTGGTAACAACTCCCGCGTGTGAGCCGGGCAATGCCACACAGCCACCTGCAGGAGCTGATTTATTCCTCACAGCAGCACCACTAGGGAACTACACTCCTGTCCCGTCTTACAGACGAGTAGCTGAACATGCGCAGGCCCACCGCATGCAAGTCACAGAAGTATGTCTGTGAGTCTCCAAAAAAGTCCTCCTCAAATCTCTTCTGGTGGCACACTCCTACAATCCCAGGGCTCTGGAGGCCAAGACAGGAGGATTATGTATTTGAGGCCAGACTAGGGTACACTGCGAATTTGCGGTCAGCTTGGGCTCTATAGTGAGGCCCTGTCTCCAGAAATAAAATACACCCCCTTTCTGATTAAGTCCTTTTTTGGTTACATTAAATTAAGAGTCTCTGTGTCTGCGCGTGTCTATGCACATATGTTCACGTGTGTGCTTGTGTGTGTGTATGTGTGTATGCTGGAAATGGAAGCCCAGGTGTAGCCCATGCTAAGCATACCCTCTGCCCTGAGCTGCCTCCCAGCCCCAGGGGAAGCCACCTATTCAGTGAGCGTTTATTGGGTACACACTATAGTGGTCAGTGCTTTAGAGGCATCATCAAGGAGCTGAGCGCTACCATTTCCACCTTATAGGGCAGGACATGAAGCTTGGAGAGGATCAGGATTGCACTCAGGTCATACAGCTGAGACAGGACGGAGTAAAGACTGACACCTACGTCTGATCCCAGAGAGAGCAGGAATTGATGTTAGGAGTAGCAGAGGGCCTTGGCGGAGAGTTGGGTACAAATCTGGGGAAGGGACAGGGTCCTAGTTGAATGTTCAGTAAGCAGCCGCATGGCGCTGGCCCCAGTAGTACGCATCCATAATCCCAGCACTTTGGGAGGCTGAGACAGGGAAAACAAAAGTGAGAGCCCAGCGTGAACAGTATAGTGGTTAGTAGGTCTTTGTATAAAAGGCTGGGGAGATAGCTCTACAGTCTAAGTGCCAGCCTGGCAAATACAAGAACCTGAGTTTGTTCCCTGGTACCGCGTACTATGCTGGCCTGAAGCCGGATGTGGTGTCTCATGCCTGTAATCCTAGCACCAGGGAGGCTGAGAAAGGAGGATCACTACAAGTCGGAGCTGCTTATCGAGATCCTGTACCAAATTAAAAAAAAAAAAAAAAGGCTTTATGTAAAAATAAAAATTGAGGAAGGGCTGGAGATGTAGTTCAATGTCAAGGTCCTAAATTTAATCCATAGTAGTAGGGAAAGAAACTACCACTCCAATCTGCTTTTGTGTAGCTGTGAGCTAGTTACTTAACTTTTCCCACCTCAGTTTCCTCATCTGTCAGGGGAGGATGGTGTCATTTCTACCCCAGAGCAGCCTATAATTGAAACACCCTTACCATAGAGCCTGACTTAGGGGAAGTGCTCATTAAATGTCAGCTGTGGTGATTAAGACATGAAACTGGGGGCTGGGGGAATAGCTCAGTAGAATAAGTGCTTGCCTGGCAAGCACTTGGGCCTGAGTTCCATTCCCAGTTCCAAAAAAAAAAAAAAAAAAAAAAAGACATGAGACTGTGTTCCTGAAGGGACAATACTGGTCATCTCCTTTAGGCCAGCACCATGCCCAGAGCTCGGCCCGGGTTGTCTCTTTGAATCTCTGTCCCAGATCCTGTGACACAGAGTCTGTGAAAAGTCCCATTGTACAGATGAGCAAAGAGAGGATCCAAGAGGTAGGAGAGTTGTTCCAAGTCACATGGACAGCAGGTGGCGGGCTGGATGAAAGCCCAGGGCTGCCCACCCTTGACCCAGGTATCCTCTGGCCACTGTATGCCTGCTCTGAAGCAATTATAAGTGATGAAGAGAAAGCAGTGTTGTGTGGGGGGCATTCAGGCAGGATCCAGGCAAGATGGGAGCCACACAGCTTTTCATAGCAAGAAGCAAAAGTTTTGTTGGCCATTGCTAGCCATCCTCAAAAGAAGAATAGACGGTGGTCTGCATGTGGAAGAACAGGCATCAGAGGGGCTGACCAGAATGGACATGGCGATCTATGCACCAAATCAATCTTTCTTTCTTTCCCTATTTATTGAGACAGGGTCAAATGCCGGGGTTACAGGGGTTCGCCATGAAGCCCATGCTTTAAATAAAGCCACTGCAGTGACCTTCTTTTCTTGTGTGTAGCTCGGCCTGGACTCTGAGACCCAGCAGCCCTCACAACAGCTATGGCAACCGCTGGAGGCTGAGTCATGTAAGGACTGAGGATGTGAAGGTCTGGGACTCCCCTTAACACTTGTACCTACTGCTTGGTGAGCCCCAGATTCCGGGGCTTGCCAGCATGGGCAGCCCCCACATTCTGTATTTTTTTCCTTCAGCTGTTTTCTTCGAGAACCCTTATCTGGCCATGCGGCCCCTCCTGCCCATTTTCTGAGTCAATTGAAGGTCACGCCTCTTCAGAAAAGCTCCTTTGCTTGGTTGGTTACTTCAGAGCGGAAGCTCAAAACGATACTGATCCGAACTGATACTAACCCGAAATTCATCAGCCAGGTGTTTAGAGCTTCCACCCCTCTCTGGCCACGCCCGTTCTGGCGACCCCTACTCAGGCTGCCCTGTTTACTTGTGAGTTTCCCTAACAGCCTGTGGAGATGGGGGTTGGAGAGGGCCCAGGATTAGAAATCCTAAAAAGAGGACTCAGAAGAGAGGGACACGCATGCCCAGATTACAACAGGGGAGATGAAGACCAGGAACAGGACCCCCAGAGCCAACTAAGATGTGGCCTTCTCTGCACTTGTATTTATTTGTTTGTTTGTTTATGGTACCCGGGATCGAACTCAGGACCTTGTGTTTGTGAGGCAGGTGCTTATGCCGCTGAGTTATCTCCTCAGCTCAAAATGTGGCCTTCGTCGTTGTCCTTGTGGCCTCTTATTTATTGTATGCTTTCAATGCAATCTCACTATGAAAATCTTTTTTTTTTTTTTTTTTTTTTTTTTTTTTTTGAACCAGGGATTGAACTCAGGCCCTTGCGCTTGCCGGGGAAGCGCTTATTCCACTGAGCCATCTTCACTGTGGCAATCTTGTTAAACAGCCTTGTTATTGTGCCAGTTTCATAGTGCAAAACATCGAGGCTCAGAGAAGCGATTTTGCTTGTTGATGTCACCGCTAAAGCCTGGATCTATAGAGACAGTTCACATTCAGAAAATCTAAGTGACAGAGACAGGCTGCAGGGAGGGGCAGCATGGCAGCCACGGTGACAGGGCCTGGCCCACTCCCGGCTCTGCCACTTTGGGCTGTGTGACTTTGAGTAAGTGCTGCACGTCTCCTGGCCTGTTTTCCCCATTTCACAAAAAAGGAGATGATTACAGATCTTCTCTGTCATGGGGCTGTTCTGAGGATGACGGGTGACAATGCAGAAGTCATTAAAATAGGCAGATGGTGAGCATTCGCAGTTAGCTTTAATCACGTTCCCCCACTAAAGGTTTACTGCACGGGAGAGTGTCCCAGACTGAGGCTCATGCAAAGGGCCTGGGGCTGCCAGTGACGGTGTACTCAAGGAGCACCCAGGAGGCCGGGGTGGCTTAGCTGGATTGAGAGCGGGAGGCAAGAGAGAGAAAGAAGGAGAATTGCCATTATCTTCTAGTGAGGAAGCTGAAATCCAAGCGATGATGTCACCTGGCTCAAGTCAGAAAGAGTGTAGGACCACAAGCTGGAGTTTAGCCTCAAAGTCTCAAAGTAACTTCCCTGGCCGAGGCATCAGATCACCCAGGATGCTGGTGCAAAGTGCTGATCTGGTCCTCTGGCCCCACGTCTCCATGGTTTGGACATATGCAGGTGTGGCTTGAGATTTGTGATTGCGACCCCCTCCGTGTCCCCAGAGTCCCAGTGTGTCAAGCACAGGGCTGGGATATCACAGAGCCTAGGAAACTCCCACTCAGCTTTCAGAGTGAAGGCTGAACAGATGAACAAAGTAACAATGAATAAAAAATATGTAACACCAGCCTCTTTAAAAAAAAGTTGCCCAGGATAGATAGCCTCACCAACTGGGGATCTTCTTGCCTCAGCCTCCTGAATAGCAGGGATAACAGCATGAGCCACCATATCTGGCACAATGTACACTTTTTTTTTTTTTTTTTTCTGTACTGGGGATCGAACTCAGGTCCTTGCGCTTTCCAGGCAGGCACTTAAACTTACACCCAGTGTACATTCTTTTTTTTCCACTATAATTTTTTTTTTGTATTTTATGTATTTAATACAGGATATACAGGGTCTCATTATGTAGATCAGACTTGTGGTAATCCTCCTCTGTTTTCATATTTATTTATTTATTTATTTATTTATTTTTGGCGTAACTGGGGATTGAACTCAGGCCCTTACGTTTCCTTATTTTTTGTTTGTTTGTGTTTTTTAGCAGAACAGG